TATTAGAACACTGAAAAATTAAATTAAAAGAAAAAAACAAAACAAAACAAAACAAAACAAAAAGGGGCTTTCCTGTCAGGGGCAGAAAGGAAGGAAAGGAGGGGCCAGCAGTCAGGGCCAGGCAATTGGGCCATGGTCACAAGAGGTTTGGGTTTAATTTCATATTTCTCATTCAAAACAAACCAACTACTTGCCAAAAAAATTGCATGTCTTTCCTATTTTGTATGTGTGTATATGAGAAAGAATAAAGAACAGTGAGAGAGAATTAAAAAAAAAAAGAAAAAGAAAATCAGAGGTAAAGAGAGAATCCCAAAAGTTTTGAGAAGAGGTAAAATAACAATAGTAACAATAAAAGGTTGCATCGAAGGACTAGAAATTAAAACAGCCTCAGACAGCAACACTGAATACTTGAAGGCAATAGAACAATGTCTTCAAAATTCTCAGGGAAAAAGATTTCCAACCAGAATTTGTCACTCGGTCAAACTATCAATCATGTATGAAATGGAGTAAAGACAAAATGGAATTAAGACAGATGGAGTAGGGGTGCCTGAGTGGCTCAGTGGGTTAAGCCTCTGCCTTCAGCTCAGGTCATGATCTCAGGGTCCTGGGATCGAGCCCCACATCAGGCTCTCTGCTCAGCAGGGAGCCCGCTTCTCCCTCTCTGCCTGCCTCTCTGCCTACTTGTGATTTCTCTCTCTGTCAAATAAATAAAATAAAATCTTAAAAAAAAAAAAAAAAGACAGATGGAAGAAAGACAGTTTTACCCAAGCAAGATTCTAAAAAAATGTACCTTCCAAATCTCTCTTTTTCAGGTACATTCTCTATTACAACCAGGAAATAAACTAAGAAAGAGAAGACTTGGGAGATGTGGAAAGCAAGGGATCCAAAACAGGAAAATGGTTAAAAGAAATTTCCAGGATGATGAAATATGAAGCCCTAGATTACAGTTTACAGCAGGCCTACAGTTCACAATAAGTCTAGATATAAATCTTCTGACTGGAACAGAAGAATGAGAGGGACTTCAAAGAGACTACACCTAAGGCTTATAAAATATAATTAATAGATTACTGTGTTTGAGCATATGCCATATTAAGATAAATTGTACAGTTCTATCAGAAGGTCTGGAGCTGAGAGGGTGATACATACATGAAAAAACTAACCAAACAAAAACAAAACAATGAGGTCAGTATTAATTTTTTTTAAAGTGTACGAGAAAGGATATGTAATTATAGTATACTATGTGGCTCAGCTGTAAACTGTATTTCTACAATTATCATAATGAATATAATAAGTAATGATTTAACCAAAAATTATAGTTACATTGGGAGGCTCTAACGAATGGAAGGGTGGGTATGGAGGTAGACAGGGAATGGAAAGTGTAGGGCTAAATCCTCATTTCCTGTGGTAGTATATCCAAAATTAAAAAAAAAAATTTAAGTTTCAGTACAAACATGTTATTTAGAAATGCAGAAGTAAATACTACAAGAAACAAACAAAGGCATTAAGAGTGATTGCCTCGGGGCGCCTGGGTGGCTCAGTGGGTTAAAGCCTCTGCCTTGGGCTTGGGTCATGATCCCGGAGTCCTGGGATTGAGCCCCACATCGGACTCTCTGCTCCGCAGGGAGCCTGCTTCCTCCTCTCTCTCTGCCTGCCTCTCTGCCTACTTGTGATCTCTGTCAAATAAATAAATAAAATTTAAAAAAAAAAAAAAAAGAGTGATTGCCTCAAGGAAAAATGACTTGGGAATGTGAAAGGGGATCATTATTTTCATTATAAGCTTTGTAGTACTGTTTTACTTTTTAAACTACATATTTGTATCAATCTAAAAAAAGTGTAATTAAATTAAAAATACAACCCACTTCAAAGAGAGCCCATCACCAACAAAAACCTAACAGCTGATATTTGAATAGACTTTGAGTATTAAAAATTAAATTTACTCATAATTTCATGTTATAACAATTTATATGAGCAAATAGTCACAAATAATTTCATTTAGACCTTAATCATTAATGTCTTAGGAGTAGTACAACAAGGTCACAGAAGCAGTTCAGAGAGGTGTTAAGATCATGGAGTCAGAGAAATGTCATTTCAAATCCTGGCTCTACCACTTAAGGAGACCTTAGGCAATTACTGTTTTGTCTTTATATAACCAATTCAACTGAAATTTTTAAAAAAGGAGGTAACAATACTTATCTTAGAGTGATATGAAAATATATGTAAGGCAATTAGCACAATGCCTAGTGTAGCATTCAATAAATAGGAGCTATCGTTATAATTAATTATGCCACAATGGTTTAATAAAATAAAGCAAATTATTGACCTAAACATCTACAATTATTAAGAACCATAATTGCCACCCTATAGTAGCCAATTTTTTTTTAAGATTTTATTTATTCATTTGACAGAGAGAGAGAGAGAGAGAGAGAGATCACAAGTAGGCAGAGAGGCAGCAGAGAGAAAGGGAGGGAAGCAGGCTCCCTGCTGAGCAGAGAGCCCAATGCGGGGGCTCGATCCCAGGGCCCTGAGATCATGACCTGAGCCGAAGGCAGAGGCTTAACCCACTGAGCCACCCAGGTGCCCCTATAGTAGCCAATTCTTGAAGATAATTTATTACAATGTAAAGAGCTTTTAGAACCTCTGAAGATCAAACCATACAATGTTACCATTAAAAAATGAATGATTGGGCACCTGGGAGGCTCAGTGGTTAAGGCCTCTGCCTTCAGCTCAGGTCATGATCTCAGGGTCCTGGGATCAAGTCCTGTGTCGGGCTCTCTGCTCAGCGGAGAGCCTGCCTCCTCCTCCTCTCTCTCTCTGCCTGCCTCTCTGCCTGCTCGTGATCTGTCAAATAAAAAAAAAAAAAAAATTAAAAAAAAAAAAGAATGATTATTTGTCTAAAATAAAACTGGTAGTTTTTAAATAAAATCTATAAAATATACTAAAATTCTATAAAAATCAAATAATGGATAGTGATTAATAATGTCTGTCATTCTGTTTGAATATAGTGGAGTACCTAGAAAATAAGAGATGATTACTGTTTCTTCTAAATAGTAAAGAAGAAAGCAATGTCAAGTAATTAGACTAAGCAGAAAAGTAAAAATCTAGGTGTGATGGATGCTCCTGAGAACTAAAATAGAATAATTACTACTGCAAGCAATTACAAATTGATATACTCTCAGTACAACTATGTAAAATTTTATATATATATAGAGCCCGATGCGGGGCTCGATCCCAGGACTCTGAGATCACGACCTGAGCCGAAGGCAGCGGCCTAACCCACTGAGCCACCCAGGCGCCCCTTATATGTTTATTTAAAAAAAAAATTAAAAAAAAAAAAAAAAAAGAATGTAACCATGAAAACAATTCTTGATGTCCTTAATCGCAAAGCCTTGTTCAAAAATTCCCTTTTTGAAACTTTTCCTTCCTAACAAGCACATCACTTGCTTCCTCTTTCCTTATCAGTTAAGTATACGATCCTGATTATACTTTTTTTTTTGTTTCCTTCCCTCCCTCCCTCCCTCCGTTCCTCCCTCCCTTCCTTCTTTCCTATTAAGCTCTATGCCCAACATGGTGCTCAAACTCACAACACCAAGATCAGGAGTCACATGCTCCACAGTGAGCCAGCCACGTGCCCCTTTTCTATATTGTTTTTTAATTTTTTTTTTAAAGATGTTATTTATTTTTATTTGAGAGAGAGAGCACAAGTGGTGGGGGAGAGGGGCAGAGGGAGAGAGAGAAGCAGGCTCCCCACTGAGCAGATCACAACCCAAACTGAAGGCAGAACTGAAGGTAGACGCTTAACAGACTAGCTACCTGGGTGCTCTGCTATATTGTTCTTTTTTTTTTTTTTTTTAAAGATTTTATTTATTTACTTGACAGACAGAGATCACAAGTAGGCAGAGAGGCAGGTAGAGAAAGAGAAGGAAGCGGGATCCCTGTGGAGCAGAGAGCCCGATGCGGGGCTCGATCCCAAGACCCTGAGATCATGACCTGAGCCGAAGGCAGAGACTTTAACCCACTGAGCCACCCAGGCGCCCCTAGCGCTATATCGTTCTTAAATTGGGTTATCTTTTGTCTTTCTTGAATTTTGACTCATTTCACCTGTGAGTATATGGACTCCAGAAAACAGGGACTTGTCTCTTCCATTTCTTTTGTGATGACAGTGGTGTGTAATGGAAAGAGCAGGAGATGAGAAATAAGATAACACAGATGCTGGAGTCAAGCGGCAACTCTCTCTCATTACCTACTTGTCTCTTTGGATAAGTCACTAAACCCGTCTCAGACCCCATGGCATTTTCTATTAAAAGGAAATGATGTGGCTTTTCACTGTGGTCCCTTGACTGATGGATGGCATTCGTGAAGAATTTTATAGTTCCATACTCAGGCGCATGCAGTACAACCCACATTCAAACCTAAAATTACTACATGGAGAGCGATAAAGTGACAACTGCTAATGTCAGTTAGATGGCGGAGGCCATCTGATCTGGATTTGTGGAGGGCATTTATCTTCTAACTAACAGTTTAGCTTCAAAGCGGTGGTTAGAATCAGCTTCCAAGCAATGGTATTTCATCACTTATCACAAGCTTTCGTAGTTTGCCCCCGGCCCTGCTCCCCAGCAAAGCAAGTCCATTAATCTAAAGTTAACTTTTCACCACTCATTGGCAGATTCTGAGTTTTTACCTGGCCACAGAAGAATGTGACTTCATATTTATAGCTCTGACATATATCAGAATTAAAGCAAAAATCTAATCTAGCTGCACTTGTGATTTCAACTTAAACTCCTTCTTCTCCTTCTCTTTCCCCCAATAATTTGACAAAACAAACAGCATAAATTAAACAAAAAACTTCATAGGTTACATTATTACTCTTTTTTGTGGAATCATATAATAATAATAATAATAATTTGCTTTCTATAAATTACACAAGTAAAATATTCAGGAATCTAACTAGTACATCTGAACAAGACAAGATGTTAACAGTATCGCAAGTCAAATACACTTACTTGACATTTCTGACGCAACTGTCGTAGTTCTTTTATAACTGGGGCTAGAGCTGACTTCTTTTCAGATACCAGTGAATTCAGTTTTTTTACCTGTCATTTAAACAAAATACATGATCTAAAAAAAGAATTCAAAAGAACAAAAATACTACATGCATAAATATATTAAAGTGTTACATAAAAGAGTAAAACTGAAAATTACTTCAAAACCAAACAATGGGGAAATGATTTAGTAAATGTCATTTCAGTAAGAAATGGGATAGCATTTAACTATTCAAAAGGTCAGTTATTAAGATGGCAAACCATACTTGCAATTGAACATTGAATGATGAAAAAAAATTAGAAAGTTGCCTTTACAATAATACAATCATGTTGTACTATTAAAAATATGTAATTATATAGATTATACAGTATATAAGTAATATGATGAAGTGATATTCAAAAATACATAATAACCCAAAGGATTTAAGTAATGACCTATCAAAATGGGACACCAGCCATAGAGACTAATGGGGTCTTGAAGTCCTCTGCTTTTTAGGAGTCAGGTTGTAGTAAGATCCAGAGGGTTCTGGGCAAGTGGCCAATGTGGAAAAAATAGGTGGAAGTGGGTCCTCTGAGAGGCTGGGGCAGCAGCTATTTATCAATAAGGAAGGAAAGATTTCTTCTTCTTTTTTTTTTTTTTTTAAAGATTTTATTTATTTGAGAGAGAGACAGTGAGAGAGAGCATGAGCGAGGAGAAGGTCAGAGGGAGAAGCAGACTCCCCATGGAGCTGGAAGCCCGATGTGGGACTCGATCCCGGGACTCCAGGATCATGACCTGAGCCGAAGGCAGTCGTCCAACCAACTGCCACCCAGACATCCCAGGAAGGAAAGATTTCAACATTTTAATGTCTGATGAAGCTGTATCAGTGCATTCAGGCTGAACAGCAGCTCCAAATATGGAAAGATACTAAGGACACACACAAAAATGAAGCAATTTTATTACTTAGGGCAGTATTATTTGGGAAAACTTATTTTTTATCTTAAATATTTCTTTAATGTTCTGTAACTTACACTTCAAAAAACCCACAAAGATCGGGGCGCCTGGGTGGCTCAGTGGGTTAAAGCCTCTGCCTTCGGCTCAGGTCATGATCTCAGGGTCCTGGGATCGAGCCCCGCATTGGGCTCTCTGCTCAGCAGGGAGTCTGCTTCCCCCTCTCTCCCTGCCTGCCTCTCTGCCTACTTGTGATCTCTGTCTGTCAAATAAATAAATAAAATCTTTGGGGAAAAAAAACCGCAAAGATAAGGTAGGCATTTCAATACATAATTCTATAGGGTATTTAAAAACCCATCATGTTTCCTTGGAAAAAAAGCCCTGCAAAATGCATAAATTATGACAAGTTGAGCAACTTCCTAGAATGGAAACATTCAGAAGAGTTGCTAAAGAAAGATTAAAGAATATAAAATAAACAATGTGCAGAAATGAAAATTTGAGTGTTTCACTGAAAACAAAACACAAAAACATCTGCCTCTAGCTATATAATTTTTTAAAACTACTAAAAAAAAAAAAAAAAAACAAGTGAAATCAGGGCACCTGGGTGGCTCAGTGGGTTAAGCATCTGCCTTCGGCTCAGGTCATGATCCCAGGGTTCTGGGATCAAGTCCTGCGTCGGGCTTCTTGCTCGGTGGGGAGCTTGCTTCTTCCTCTCCCTGCTCTGCCTGCTGCTCCCCCTGCTTGTGCTCTCTCTCTCTCTAGCAAATAGATAAATAAATAAGTCTTAAAAAAAAAAAAAAAGAAAAGAAAAGAAAAGAAAGAAAAAAATCAAATGTAATCACCATTTCAGACATGTCGTCGAGCGTTCGGCCTTTCATCTCATCAACCTCAGTCTTCAGTGCAGATACCCGTTCTAGCTCTTCCTGGGTGTAACTATACCCAGATATACCCTTTTTCTCTTCAATAGTTTGCTAAAAGTAAAGAATAAAAATAGGTGTAAAAAATGGGGTCCACAAAATGTGTGACAAAACCTTGACAATTCTGTAAGAAGTGTACAGATTTAATGTATAATAATAAAATTATAAGTAAAATTAGTTTAGAATTATAAATAATAATTTTTATTGACAATAATTACATATCTTTATATGTTATAAACTTGCGTTAAATTTTACTTTGGTATCCTTGGGTGCATAGTATTTCTAATTTTAGGACTCAATAAATATTTGGTGACTGAATGAATTCTCAAGTGATCAATATATTTGCATTCACTCACCCATCCAATGTTTACTATATACCTAAGTGTGCTGAGCATAGTTTAAAGCACCAGATACACAGCAGTGAACAAAACAGGGTAAAAAAAAAAGTCTTCCCTCACAGAGCTTACTTCTAGTGAGAGTAAACAAGAAATCTGTAGACAATAGAATACATAGAGTGTGAGGTGAGAGTGGGGTTGGAAATCTTAAATAACGGGGTGGTCAGGGAAGGTCTTTCTGAGAAGATGACATCTCAGCAAAGCCAGAATGAAGTGAGGGAGCAAGTCCTACAGATATCCAGGGGCTCAGCAAGTACAAAAGACATGTCCTTTCCAAGAAATAGCTAAGAGACTGGGGGAGCTGAAAATGGAGTGAGAATGAGGTTGGGGGGTAAGGATCATGTAGGAGTCAGATGGTTTGCTGGAACAGTCTCGGTTAATGTCTACTGTCCTTTGTATTTTCAAAAGTGTCCTACTTTAGATGATAAATTATATGGTTACTTTATTTTTAGGCCAATGAAAGAGCTTAGGCTTATTTTAAATGAGATGGGAGGTTTGTTGGGTGGTTCAGAGTAAAGGAATTTTTAAATGGCCACTTTAACATCTGTGCTGAGAGCAAACGATAGAGGGACGAAGGAAGACAGTTAGAAGACTACTCAAATAATTCAGTTTACAGATAATGGTAGCATGAGTCAGATGGTGGTGGTAGAGGTAATGAGAAGTGGTCTGTTTTAAGGTAGAGCCAACAAAATATTAAGACAGATTAGATGTAGGGTGTGAGGAATAGTGAGGGGTAAAGGATGACTAAAGTTTCTGGCCTGTAGAACTGAGGGGATGGAGCTGCTGTTTGTTGAAATGAGAAAGACTCTGTAAGGCCAGGTTTGAGGGAGTAATGAAGATCAGAAATCTAGTTTTGGACATTTAAAAAATTTGAAATGTCCAGTAGATACTCAGTAAGAGGTCAAGATGTTATACATATAAGACTGGAATTTGAGGAGAAATCTAGGTTAGAGATACAGAGTTGGGAACGGTCTTCATAAAGAAGGTCTTTAAATCCATGAGACAGGATAAGATAACCAAGGGAGTGAAAGAAGAAAAGAGATCTAAGGGCTATGCTCAGGAACTCCAATTTTTAGATCTTAGATGAGAAGAAATCAGCCCCAGAGTAGGAATATAGGAGCGCTAGTAAGGGAGAAGAACAAGGATGAGGGAGTGATCAACTATGTCAAACACTGCCAATAGGCCAAGTAGGAAAAAGACTACGACCTGATTGGACAGGGTTCAAAACAGGATGGGAGAACCAAAAGGAAAGAAAGAAAAAGAGAGAGAGAATGGAAGAAGAGTTGGAATTTGGGGCTGCCAATAAAATCGAGACTCCTAAGAAAGGAGTAGAGGGAACTATAGAGTATTAGCCCAAAATTCTAAATGCAATTTCCTCTTTGGGGATTACCAAACTCTAAGCTGTGCATAAGAGGGTAAGACTCCTAGCAACCAAGTGGAAATCAGTACATGGGTGACTAAAAAACTGGGCAAAGACTTCAGTATCTCATAGTACTAGGGAGACAGAGGTAGGAATTCAAGACTAGTCAAACTGTGTTGTTCCAGACTACCAGCTGAAACCCCAGAAAGGCTATTCCTAAGGAGTAAGGGTGATAACCTAAGAGTAAGAGCTAGGTGCTAGGTGTAAGGACTATTTCCTGGGAGTAGAGTTTCTGCCCCAGGTATGAGGGCTGCATCTTAGGAATAAGAGAAAAATACCAGCTTTAGCAAAACTGGATCAAGATGATCTCTGAGAAAAAAAACGCCAAATGTTCTTTTAAGGAAGGAAGTGTTTTCAGAGCCTGGCATTCAATAAAAAGGTACTAGGTAAGCAAAGTAACATGTCTGAAAATCAAGAGAAAAAAAGACGGATAATAGAAAGACACCCAGATGAATTTATCAGATAAATAAATTTCTTGGCTGAATAGGAACTGTATCACACCACCTCTTGGAAGATAAAAAGATAGAAAGGGTCGACAGCATACAACTGACTGACCATGGGGTACAAAAACGTAATTTTCTTGCCTAAAGATGAGACTAACTGTATGATGCAATTTGCATTCCAGAGTTCCTCAGGGATCAGACTGAAACTGGACTCCAGATGAATCCACTTTTCCTCACTGCTTCATTCTGGTTCCTTCACTTCCTTTCTCCTAAAAGCACTCTCTGACTTAATCATGTGGAGAGCAGTCAGAATTCTTGTTTCAGGTTCTGCTTTCAGAGAACCTGACCGAACCATAAAAATGGGCTTCTAGAGTGGGATTACTCACTGAATGAATGGAACTGAAGGGCCCATCACTGGTGGCGGGGTGAATATTGCTAGTCCCATGCATGCTGTAGCAGCGCCATTGCTAAGACTTGCAGTGAACTGAGGCAGAGTATAAGCGGAGGGTGACTGTAGCAGTCATGAGAATGGGCTCCTTTGGGAGCTCAGATCTCCTTTGGGAGACCCCACTGAAATGGACTGGACTGACAGGCGTAACTGCCGCCCCTCTGGATCCAGAGTCGTGTTCCTACTAAGCCTACGCTTCCCCCAGGTTGCTCCTAGCATGACTGAGCATGGCAATAGTACTAGTGCTGGCCTGTTTCTGCCTGACAGGGGACTCCTCTAGCGGATGACTGGCTCAGGAACTCCCCCTCATCCTCACCAAAACTTTCCTAAAACTGTGCTGCAGTCTAAGGCTCTTCCTACACAAACCTCCTTCTTTTTCTCTCCCTTCATAGTTGTCAGTCCTGCAGTAGGGCCTTAATGGTTTTCCCTGCCTCCTCTTGCTCCCTTCCTTTTATCTTTCACAGTATTTCTTCCAGCAAATCTTTGGTACATCTAATCCCATCTTGGTGTCCGTTTCTTGAACTGTCACACGGATGCACTAGTTGGTACAAGTTGCTGGTATTTGGAAAGTATGCAGAAATAATAACTAAAGGGACAATGGAATTGGGGTGGCTTTTGCTATGCTCCACGTATAGTTGAAGATATAAAATGACAGCCTCAACTATATGAACCATTAATTTAAAGCAAAGTGATAAGGTCAGAGAACCTTCTTAGGAGCTTTAAAGAAACCCTAATTTCCTATGGCTGAAGGGCAGTGGAAGCTGAAAACCAGGCACACAACTTAATTGTTAATAGGGTAAAACTTGAGAAAAGGCTGAATATATTCTGTGACAAAGTCAGGGCTCTAAGAAAGGGTACTACTGAGTCCAGGATGGAATACCTACATAGACTCACTTGAGAACCTTGAGCCTCTAGATTATCTTATATCCTCTGGGCAGTGGCAAGTGGCTTAGCTTGTTGGTCAGGGGTCTGGGAGAACTAGGTACCAGGATTGGAAGACTGGGGACACGGAGGTCTGTGGAAGAGGCATGCAGATAGACCTACGGGAGTAACACATTAAGTGTAAAGATCTTTTCTCTTTATATCATATGCTAATGGCCACTAGAGAATTTCCAAAGCAGAAGAGAGTACTAAACAACCAAGTGGGAAGGATGATTTGGCCAGGAGATGTCACGCACCCTCTGTCACTGGCCACCCAGTGCTTGGACAATGGGCTCATGAACAGAATGGCTATGCTGGCAAAGATGGAGGCTAAGCAAGGGCCAAATAGCATGGGCTCTCTCTCGCCAATGCCCGTCTAGCTACTTGCACTGACAAATGTCTGACCTGGCAACAAGAGAGAGATCAATCCTGAGCTGTAGATATAGAATCATACCTTGAAGAAACCAATCTTCTGCCTTGAAAAGGGGAACATTTCATCCTGACCTGGACTGACCCATATTCTGGTAAGTATTTCCTTTTCTTGCCCCCAGTGCTTCAGCCAGCATCACTATCCAAGGGCTCAGAGTATCTGGTCTACTGATGTGGAGTTCTGTATAAATATCACTCAGACCATGGGATTACTTTATGGCATAGGAGATATGGTGGTGGACACGTGATCACTGGATTCAGTCACTGGACCACATATCACACCATCCAGGAAGCTAATACCCTGAGAGTTTGGTAGAAGGGCCTTGTGAAGATACAACTAAGGTACAGCTTAGAGCTGATGGCCTGTGAGGATGAGTTCTACTCTTCAGGATGGATGGAGTATACATTTTTAAACCAATGCCTACCATTTAGTGCTGTGTTGCCAATAGAAAGAATACATGGGTCTTGGAACTATGGAATGAAGGTATGAGAGTAAACATTCACTAGGGTGCCCTCTTATCCACTTAAGGAATTATGTTTCCCTTCCTGACACCTGTAGGCTCTGGAGGTGTAGAACTTCTGGTTTTCAGAGCGGGCATGGTAAAACCAGGAGGCACATTAAAAGGCCTTTAAACTTAATGCTCTGGCGACCATCTTGTCATTTGGGATCCTCATGCTTGTAGACTAGCAGGCAAAGAAAAAAGTTATTATATTGACAGGACATCATTATGTTATACAAATGCTGCTATAAATAAGGGCAAATAGGAATATGTTTGACACTCAGGGGATCCATTAGGGCATATCTTGGTACTCCCATGCCCAGTTTTAGCAGTAAATGAGTAATGCAGCAACCGCAGCCTGCTAAGATCATGGTTCCTAGAGTCTCACACCTCTTAAAGCTGAGGGACTGGGTCATCCCACCAAGAAAGTCATTTAGACCAGTGAAGGTGCTAGCCAAACATGAGGGAAATCTAGAATGGATGGTAAAGGAAGAAGATGTTGAGTATTAGTATGTCCTTGGGACCAAATATAGCAACGAGAGTTTTCCTTTGTCCTGTTAACCCTCCTCCTACAAACTTTCCTAGAAATTGCGATCAACCAGAATCCTGTAGAAGCTATACTTAAATGGAGTCAATTTAACATGAGAAACAGGTAGATCCCAGCATTGCAAGGGGTAGATTGTAATGGTTGTCGTTGGTGCCTTGTTCAGACCTCATCTGCAACCTGCCATAAGAGCTGTTGATTGCTAAAGATTCACAGTTGTTCCCTTCTACAGACGATGCCCTCGCATTTGGCTAGGAGGTTACACCCTGCTACAGCACTGACTGACTGATATAGGAGTAAAAAGGCCAGCCCCTTTGCCTCAAGATGGAATCAACTTCACACTGCAATTTGAGCTCCAAAGTTCTTCACAGAATCAAAATGATACTGTCTAGTCAGGACTATGTCCTTGCTTGCTCTTTTCTGCTGCCCTATCTGCTTCCCTCATTCCCCTCCTTCTGAAGGCACTTCTTCCCTCAATAAATCACTTGTACAAGGTATTCCCCTCTTAGGCTCTGCTTCTAGGGAACCCAACTTAAGAAAAAATGTAAAGAAAAAACTGATGGAACTAAAAAAAGAAAGCAATAATCATAATCATAGAATTAACACACCTCTCTCAATAACTAACAGAACAAGCAGACAAAAATATCAATGGGAATATGGAAGATTTGAAATCATGGTTAACACACTCGACTGAACTGACATACAGAGAACACCATCCCCCAAACTGCAGAATATACATTCTTCTAAACTGCGCTGGGACAATCACCAGAATAGGCCACTTGCTGGACCATAATACAATACTCAACAAATTTCAAATGACTAAAATTACACAGAATGTTCTCTGGTCACAGTGGAAATAAGGTAGAAGTCAGTAACTGAAAGGTAACTAGAAAATGTTTGGTTTTAAGCAACACTTGGTTTTAAGCAATAATCCATAGATCAAAGAAATTGTAATGGAAATTGGAAAATGTTTTTGAGGTGACCAAGAACACAATTACAACCTATCAATTTTGAAAGGAGTACCATTATGCACAGTGAATTTTCTATCTTAAGTTCCCTAGAAGCAAACAATATTCAACAGCATGAGACAGAAAGTTCATATTGCCAGCTTAACCACGACTGGTTGAAACTTCATTCATATCCACCATACTGATGATAGCTGGTAAACCAGCATCCTGATGAAATAATTTCCCCGTGGGTGAAAGGAACAAAAATCCAATTCAAGAAAATTCTAAGGAACTGATGATGTCCACGATGAGATTTTGCTATCAGAGGGACTATTCTGGGCTTAACTCTTTCCTGACAACTAAGGCACAAATACATAAGGAATAAGCCTGCAGTCAATCTTCCATATGGTACCTTTCCTAGATAATTCTTTTCAGAACTCCACGGAAGTAGTTGCTTAGATATTTCTGCCCAGCAGGCCATGATAAAAATATTTTATAGTCACTCTCTTGGTATGATAATTTTTCTCATATTAATTAGCTAACCAAAGAAAAATCTACTTGGAATTCAACTTCTATCAGTTACCCCAAAGTCAGCACACATGAAAAAGTTAATGTTTACAGCTACATTAAAAAATACACAAATCAGGGTGCAGCTGTGTGGCTCACTTCGTTAAGCATCTGACTCTTGGTTTCGGCTCAGTTCATGATCTCAGGGTCATGAGATCAAGCCCCATATCAGGTTCTGTGCTCAGTACACAGTCTGCTTGAGATTCTTGCCCTCTCCCTCTGCCCCACCCCTGCCCATGCAGATGTGCACTCTCTCTCTAAAATAAAATCTTTAAAATAAGTAAATAAATACATAAGCTTATATGATATCTCTGGAATTAATCAGAGAACATTAATAATTTTATGGTATTTTCAGTAAAAACAATGACCTCAGTATACACCTGTAACCCACAAACCCCTTGGCATTTATATTTCTAGCACCCCAAGATAATACTGTATTACCAGCTGATGTTGAATATTCTCATGACGTTGTTTAAGAAGTTCTTCTGTCCTCTGCAAGAGACCGAATTCAGCTTTAAATTCAGCTATTATTTGATGTTTCTTTTTGAAAACTGTACTCTTGCTTCGAAGTTTACTGACATATCGTTTGAACTGTAAAGAATACAACATATAACCTCATGAATAGAAAAGTCATTGCCAAATATATAGAACCTCAATGTATAAGAAAAATTTTATCGCCTCCTGTCCAAATTGGGTATCACAAGTATATAATAACAACTTAGGTTCATTAGAAAACTTGGAAAGACTAACTGCTCAATTAAAATACTTTGTGTAGATTTAAATTTTTGGACCCATCTAAATATTGTAAATCCTAACTTAAAAGCTATTTGTTTTGGGCTTTACAAATAAGGATTTAAAAAAGAAGAAACTTGGGGTGCCTGGGTGGCTCAGTGGGTTAAAGCCTCTACCTTCGGCTCAGGTCAAGATCTCAGGGTCCTGGGATCGAGCCCCACATGGGACTCTCTGCTCAGAGGGGAGCCTGCTTCCTCCTCTATCTCTCTGCCTGCCTCTCTGCCTACTTGAGATCTCTGTCTGTCAAATAAATAAATAAATCTTTAAAATAAAATAAAAAAGCAGAAACTCAACCCTATAAAAGTAAAAAGGTTAAAGAAGGAGGAGGAGGAGAAGGAGGAAGAGAAAAAGAAAAAGTAGGAAACCAACTCTGGCTGTGATCTTATCGTGATATCTTTTATATATTGTACTATTTTGGTAGCACTGCATCTACTGAGAGTAATACAGCCAACCAGAACAGTAAACACTTGTAGCTATTAGTTATCATTTAAGAAATGTACTGTGATTATATGCACTAAGAAGCATCTGAGACATTGAGATGAAACTCATCCCAAACCTTAAAAAGCTAAGAATATTCTAAATTAGTGGGAGCTTACAGTTGCTTAATTCAGCTATTTACCTACTAATGATATAAAGTTATAACTACTCTAGGGGCCCCTGGGTGGCTCAGTGGGTTAAGGCCTCTGCCTTCGGCTCAGGTCATAATCCCGGGGTCCTGGGATCGAGCCCCACATTGGGCTCTCTGCTCAGCAGGGAGCCTGCTTCCCTTCCTCTCTCTCTGCCCTGCCTCTCTGCCTACTTGTGATCTTTGTCAGTCAGATAAATAAATAAAATCTTTAAAAAAAAAAGTTATAACTACTCTAATGGAAAGACCCCACTATTAACCAATACCAACTATAGTCTGGAAAAGCATATAAAATGAATAGGAATCAAAGGTATTCATTCGATAAACAGTACTTACTATTATGTACTAGGCACTGTGCCAGACACAGAAAATACAACTCTAAACAAGATACTCAGAAGACTTGCCCTCACCAAGCTTAAGGAAATAGTGGCAAAAACAAACACTGAACTGATGTTTACAATGATGGTGAATATTATGAAGAAGTAAAATGGTCCTGAGAATAAATAATAGGAGTTTAACGTGGGTTGGGAGGAAGGCAGGAAAGGTGGGTTTTGGGATTTAGAGGAGGTGGATTATGGCAAGCTTCTCAAAATAATTACGTATAAGCCAAGACTGAAGAAGTAAGAGTGTGTTGGAGGAAGGAGGAAGAGGCAAAGAATAACATTCCAGGTAGAGGAAACAGAAGGTGTAAAGATCCTGGCTCATTAAAAGTATTGCTTGATAGAAGAAGCAAATGCCAGAAGCAAATGTGAGAAATTTTATGGTATTTCTGAAACAGAACATAATACTTTTTTAAAAAAATCCTTCCTCTTCTGTACCATTGTACTAGTAATTTTCAGATTTTTTAAAACTACATAAAATAATTTTTCTTCCTGCTTTTCCTTTTATTAACTACATTATAAAGAAAATTTCCAAGTAAGGATTTGGCCTATTATTTTTTTAAAAGATTTTATTTATTTATTTGACAGGCAGAGATCACAAGCAGGCAGAGAGAGAGAGAGGAGGAAGCAGGCTTCCTGCTGAGCAGAGAGCCCGACGTGAGGCTAGATCCCAGGACCCTGGCAGAGGCTTTAACCCACTGAGCCACCCAGGCTCCCCTGGCTTATTATTATTATTATTATTATTATTATTTTAAAGATTTTATTTATTTACTTGACAGAGATTACAAGTAGGCAGAAAGGCAGGCAGAAAGAGGAGGAAGCGGGCTCCCCACTGAGCAGAGAGCCTGATGTGGGGCTCGATCCCAGGACCCTGAGATCATGACCTGAGCTGAAGGCAGGGGCTTTAACCCACTGAGCCACCCAGGTGCCCCCCTGGCCTATCATTTTTAAGCACATTACTTCAAAACAAATTAAGTTTCCATTTTACCTAATACAAGGTAATTTTTTTGAAATTTTTATTTTTATTTTTTAAAGATTTTATTTATTTATTTTAGAGAGAGAAAGTGTGAGCAGGGGAAGGATAAAAGAAGGAGGGAGGGGCGCCTGGGTAGCTCAGTGGGTTGGGCCGCTGCCTTCGGCTCAGGTCATGATCTCGGTGTCCTGGGATCGAGCCCCGCGTCGGGCTCTCTGCTCAGCGGGGAGCCTGCTTCCTCCTCTCTCTCTGCCTGCTTGTGATCTCTCTCTGTCAAATAAATAAATAAAATCTTTAAAAAAAAAAAAAAGAAGGAGGGAGAGGGAGAAAGAGTCTCAAACAGACTCTGTGCTGAGCATGGAACCTGATGTGGGGCTTGATCTCATGACCCCAAAATCATGACCTGAGACGAAATCAAGAGTCAGATGCTTTAACGAACTAAGCCACCCAGACACCCCATTACTTTTATTATTTATAAAATAATTTATAACTCTTCCCAAGTTAGCCTTTAAAAGGATTGGGTATTAAAAAGGCTAAGATGTTCAAAGAAATACCTTGGAGGGGAGTCTGGATGGCTCAATAGGTTAAGTGTCCAACTCCTGATTTTAGCTAAGTTCATGATCTCAGGGTCATGAGTTCAAGTGCCATGACAGGCTCTGTGCTGGGCGTGGAGACAGCTTAAGATTTTCTCTCTCAGGGGTGCCTGAGTGGCTCAGTCGTTCAGCATCTGCCTTCGGCTCAGGTCATTTTCCCAGGGTCCTGGGATCGAGCCCCACATCGGGCTCCCTGCTCAGTGGGAAGCCTGCTTTGCTCACTCCCACTCCCCCCACTTGTGTTCCCTCTCTCTCTGTCTCTCTCTCTCTGTGTCAAATAAATAAACAAAATCTTTAAAAAAAAAAAGATTTTCTCTCTCACTATCCCTCTGTCCCTCCCCCTCTAAATAATAATAATAAGGTAATTAACATATAACTAAAATTTTGGAAAACAGGAAAAATTCACTCAAAGCCACTATTCCAGTGCAAGTTCTACTACCATGTTGCTATTTTTCCTTCTAATTTTTAAGGCTAACCATAAGGCCAATAATTCAAGTTGTAAGGTAGTAAAATAGGGAGCACAGCATTTCTAAAATTTAGTAGGAGATTTTTTTTCCTTAAAGACTTGATTGATTTTTCAGTACAAAGTCCTCGACAATAGTAAGATTAAAAATTCTTCACATAAAAATAACCATCTAATTCCTAGTTTAGACATCTTTTAAAACTTGACTAAAACTTTGAAAGAATGAAGAAGCCACTGTGTTTTCATAGAAGGAAGTTCAAAATATTTTTCTACCCATGATTAACCTAGTTTTAATAGTAACAAATCCAGCCCACACACAGCAAATTATCAGTGGCTGGATTATAGGAATAGTTTAAAAATTTAAGTCATACCAATGTACCTAGAGTCCAATAACCTGCAATTTTTCCTTTTAAAGAATAAATGTGTAAGCCTGACATAACCACAGACTCAGGATACCTAGAGTAACTATATGTTCTATTAAAAGTGTCCTGGGCAAAGTGCCCAAAGTGAAATCAACCCTGTTCATCTGCTATCTTCTGTATTATCTAGGCCAATTTTTCCCTTTTTTATCTTGCTGTGCTCCAGAATTATTTTTAAAAGCTAAAACCTATAAATATTTTTGGTGGAAGAACAAACCCACCAATTACTCAATATGCTCTATGATAATTGGTTATTATTTGACATTCACAGGACAAACTACCTAAGGGAAGGGTAGTTTCGGCCAGATTAATGATGGTTATATACAATTAAACAATAGGCGGCCATCAAAGTACTCTAAGGAATCCACTACTCTGGAAGAATTAGAGGCAAGAAAACACATTATCAAATGTTTTTCCTCCACTAGAAGTTTCTTCTCACAATCATTTGGATTTTAGGTTATTTCTGAATTTTCAAGTTAATAAAAAAGGATGAATATATTGAAGCTAAAACATCAGAAACATATTTTTTAAAAGATTTCTTATTTATTTATTTGACACAGAGAGAGAGAGAGAGGCAGTGAGAGAGGGCACACAAACAGGGGGAGTGGGAGAGGGAGAAGCAGGTTTCCCACCAAACAGGGAACCCAACGTGGGGCTTGATCCCAGGACCAAGCAGAAGGCAGATGCTTAATGAATGAGCCACTCAAGCGCCCCCAGAAACATTTTTAGCAATTTCTATAGGACATACTTCAAGAAATGGTCAGAAGGAAATAAGGTTTTGATATAGTTTGTCAAACTGCCCTTCAAAGGCTGTTTATAGTACTTTTAATAATTGTCAACTTGATAATTAAAATAGTATTTTACTTTTTATTTGCATTTCTTTATTAAGGAAATACACTTTTTTGGTCATGTTCATTACTAATCTGGGGTAATTTAAAAAAACGATTTGCCTATTTCTGTCCCACTTTTTTTTTTTTTTTAAGATTATTTATTTATTTTTTTGACAGAGAGAGAGAGAGAGAGCACAAGTAGGCAGAGCAGCAGGCAGAGGGAGAGGGAGAAGCAGGCTCCCCGCCGAGCAGGGAGCCCGATGCGGTGCTCAATCCCAGGACCCTGGGACCACGACCCGAGCCAAAGGCAGACACTCAACCGACTGAGCCACCCAGGCGCCCCCTCTGGCCCACTTTTTAATTGGAGGTTTTAATTTCTCCATGGCTCTGTAACAGGGCTTCTCAAACTATTTGGTCTCAGGAACACTTTATGTATTTTTAGAATTATTAAAGCTCTCAAAGGGATTTTGTTTATGTAGACTGCTGCTGTGGCTAATCTGAGGGAAAAGAATACAA